GATGGTTGGGGACCGCTGCTCTAGAGACTACTTACTTAATGAATATTTTTGTGTTGAATAAAATGTATACTTCATTTTATTCTGAATTTTTCCCCAACTTGGGAAAGGATATATGTTCATAGAGAACAAAATGTAGATTTTAGACCATGAACAACACTATATATAACAAATACATTTAAACAGCAGGACTATCCTTTTTTTTATTAGGAGTTTAAAAAAGTGCAATAATCCTTTATATTAGTAAAATGCTTTTTTTTTTTTTAGATTTGCTTTTTAGAAGTCTCAGAAGCTGTTGACTTAAGGTGGCCCTTGATCAGTCTAGCATTACACTGAATATTGTGTGCTCGTGTAAATGCTTCAAAGGAATGGCTGCCACAAGTTCTCTTAATTTTAAAACAATTTTTATGGCTGCTTGTATGATTAGAAAACTTTTTATTATTGTCTGTTGAAGAAATGTTTAGCGTTTTTGTTATTTTTTGCAAATAGCTCAGCTCTTTTCTCTTTTGCTATTGTTTTACAGTAAAACAAAGATAACTGAAAAAGAGCACTAAACATTTATTCTTTAATTGCATGTTTGTCTGGCGGGTGAAAATGACCCTTCTTGCCGTGTATGGAAAATTACATTGAAAAACACAAAACAATGCAGCAAAACAGGGGCTGTTTTTTTTAAATATTTGTATTTAAAAAAAAGATTACACTTCGAAAATGACTGGAAATGATCTCATCCCAATCAACTTGGTCAGCTCAATCTTTCCAATTTCCTAGCTCCTATACCCCCAAAAAAGCATCTTTACTGATTATTGTATATAAATTGAGATCATTACAGTCCTGCATGATAACAGAGCCATAAAGTAATCATGTTATTTCTTCTGATTACAGATCAAAGATACGGAGAGGGCATTTACTTTGCAAGTACTATTAAGAAGGCCCTGGATCTGTGGAAGAATAGAAGGGAAGAGTACCTGTACTTTGTGGAGGCTGAGGTTCTGAAGGGAAAGTCAGTTCCTGGTAAACCAGAACTCATAATGCCTCCTGCCGTGGACAGAGATCCCAGCATTGTCTATGACAGCGTGGATGGAGGCCCTGATATCTCCGTTATCTTCAGTGGTTATCAAGCTTTACCCAAGTATATCATCATCTGTAAGAAGGAAGGAAAAGGAAGTGGTTTACTTGTTTAGGGAGAGTCTTTGAGTTATGTTGCTCATAGTTCAATATAAGAAATTCATGTGATGTAAAATATGATCAAATAGAAGCACCAGGAAAATAACCCAAGTTTATCAATGATACAAAAGATGCCTCAGTTATCAGCTTTACTTTCAGCCTCACTGAAATGATTTAAATACACACTTATTTAGTTCAAGTAAGAAATTCAAGAACATCTAAAAATCCAGATTTAAAATTAGCTTAATAATCTTATAAGCAACAAAAATATGTGTTAGTTTATTACTTTAAGTCTAAAAAATATTTTCGATAGATCCTTAAAGATATTTAGTTTTTTTTGTAAATAAATCAGTAGTGTGAAAGTTTTTCAGTCTTTAAAATCTTTGTGAAAATCTTTAAAAAAATATAGATTTAGGTTTTGTCTTATTATCCTTTTTATGAATCCTTTGTTTGAAAATTGTTTTGGGGAAAATGTAAAGCACCCCTTTATATTTTACTGTATTAAAAATGTATATCTTTTTTGTTGAGTCATTAAATCTACAAATGAATCAGTTTATTTTACTTTACATTCTCTTAGCGATCATTCTTCATTTTCCCTTGATAAAAAAAAAATCTTCATTTAGGTGCTTTTTAGCACATCTGCTTGTATATTTCATGGGGATCTTTAACTATTATTGTATCAAAGTGTCTAAATTTAATAAAAGTTAAACCAATTTCTGTATACCTCACCAAAATATGATCAGCTTGAGATTTAATGAAGCTAAATATAGTTTGCATTTATCATACACTCTTGAATCATTCTTGAATTTTTCACCAACTTCTTAAAATCTAAAATATGTTCATCACAAAAAATACAAAACCCAGCTGCCTATAATCTGACAGGCACTGAGAAATTTCAATATATTGCTGCATCTCTGATCTCTACCATGGTTACTTTTAAAAAGCAGAATTGTTCTTATAATATTAGTACTAATCAAGGGAAGCATATGCTGGAAAACACCCCCATAGATTTGGAAAAGGCTTCATGTCGTAGTAGATTAAAAAAGTTTTTTTTTTCCATCCCTCTGGTTGAGTTCTAAAACCAATTAACCTTCTGTTTTAGATAAATGTGTTTATAAAGTGTATTACTGTATGCTTTGATGGGAATCAAACTTTGTTGCTTTGTGAGGGAGATGTTGAATGTTGAATAAAGTTGATTTGGAATTTTAAAAACTGACAGATATCTACAGAAGCTTTAATATGGAGGTTCAAGCAAGAGTACAGGTATCTACTACAGAAGGTAAACAAAACATTAAGTATGAAAAACTGAAGTACGGTAACAAAAGCTTGAAAATAGCATATTTTAAGGAGTGTTTAAAAGTGTTTAACATATGTAATTACTGGAAGATGGCTCTATAAGGCAAATGAAATTTATTGTGCATTACATAAAAATTGTAATTTTTTCTGCGCTGAAACAATAATAAGAAAATAAATACTTTTTTGTCCAAAACGAGAAACTTTGTTGTTTGTTATTGTAATAATTTGCTCTGTAATAATGTAATGCACTTTGGTAAAATCAGACTTTCATGAATGACTGTGTTGTTCAAATGGTCAAGGGGCTGCTGTAAACCAATATCTTACAGAGGGACAAAGAAAAAGCAATAAAAGCACAGAAATATTTTTTGACAATATTTGTAATCACCAAGCTAGTATATTCATCTGCATTATACTGTAAATTCATTAAAATACCACTCAACGATATTTGTTGGACAAATGACTCTTTCCTGTCTCTAGCTCTTTCTCTCCCCCCTTAGTTCTTATCCCCTCTTTCTTTCACCCCTCCCTTTCAATCTCTGCATCCATTATATATGATTCTCCTCCCTAAAAAATTTTCTGTGAAGTTTAATATACAGGTATCAAGTGGAACATCAACTAGCTCTGGGACATTTATTCCCTGAGCCATATTGGCAAAACAGGACACCAAAAATTGTCAAAGCTCAGAACAGAGGACCCCGTATTCAAGGCAGACAGACAGATATTTCAAAAAAGCATTTAAGTGATGAATCTGCAGGAGACAGGTAGGTCATCTAAGGCAGGAACCTCTGCAGGAAGAAAACAAAGGTTAGTGACCACGTCAATCTGGCAGAGGAAGATTATAAACCTGTGAGTCACTAACCTGATCTTAGAGTTCAGTCTGTGCCCAGTGGACGATGTTTATTCTTGCCAGTCAGCTGCCAACAAGATGCGGCGGGTGCAGCCCAGAGAGTCCAAGACATTGTAGCCCCAGAGATCAGAGGACTGACAGAAGATCAGAACCGAGCAGACAAATGAAGGCAGGATAATCCACAGGGTGAAGCCAAAGCCATTGTCCAGGACATGCTCAGGATATAGAACCAGGAGATCAGAGATCCAAAGAGGTTCCGAAGGGAAATCCAGGATGGTGTCAGAAATCAGTTCCAAGTACGATGCACAGGCAGAAATCCAACAGGAGTCCGAGGAAAGATCAGGCAAACAGATCAGAATAGGGACAGGCAGGCTCAGAGGTCCAAAGGCAGAATGGGTCAGGATTGGGCAATGAGAAACACTCTAGTAGGCTAGAGAACTCTCACCTCAAAGATGACAGGTTAGAGGGCTGCTTACTTAAAGCTACAGTGTGTAATTTTCAGCGACATCTA